GATAAAATCCCTAGGAGGAGTTCGTTAAAATACAACGCCTGGAAATGGCAAAAACGCCACTTTTTCGCCGCAGGAAGTCAAAAATATCCGACTTCCTGTTGGGTTTGAGATATGGCTCCAAGAGACTTTTTCGTATGTTTTGGTGTGTTTGAGGTGTGTGCCAATTTTCGTGCATGTGCGTGATTCATATATCGGGGGCTCGTCCGTTTAATTTTTCTAGGTGGCGCTGTCGAGTCATTTTGCCACGCCCACTTCCGAAGCCCATAACAAACGTAAATTTTCGCCACTTTTGAGGCGTGTGCAAAGTTTCGTGAGTTTTCGGGCATGTTTAGCCCCTCTAAACCGCGATTCATTCCGCGGAAGAAGAAGAAGAAGAAGAAGAATAATAATAAACAGAGCAATTCCAATAGGGCCTACGCACCGTTTCGGTGCTCGGTCCCTAATTAAAGCTGCAAGCAGCGATGATAGGGACCTCGCACCCGGGCTCACCGCCGCCCGGTGACCTTACGATGACAGAGAACAGCGAACAATAATAATTTAAGCCAATATATAAAAAAAAAATCTAAGAAAATCACAAATTTATGCCAAACTTCCTCCTGTCAGCAGGTGGCGCTATAACTGTGACTTAAGATTGGCATGTAGATGTCTTCCGGAGAGGAATCTTATCAACCATGTGAAGTTTCAGGCACATGGGACATTGTGTGGCTGAGTTATAAGCCAAACTACCTTCTGCCAGCAGGTGGCGTTATGACTGACTCAATATTGTTATGTGGATGTGTTCAGGAGCGGACTTTTATCAACCATGTGAAGTTTCAGGCAGATCAGAGATTGTGTGGAGATTGTGTTTTAAGACAAACTACATTCTGCCAGCAGGTGGCGCTATGAAAGACTCAATATTATTATGTAGATGTGTTTAGGAGAGGACTTTCATCAACCATGTGACATTTTAGGCAGATCTGACATTGTGTGGCCAAGTTACAAGCCAAAATTCCTTCTGCCAGCAGGTGGCGCTATTACTCTGACTCAATATTATTATGTAGATGTGCTCAAGAGAGGACATTCATCAACCATGTGAAGTTTCAGGCAGATCGGACATTGTGTGGCTGAGTTATAAGCCAAACTACCTTCTGCCAGCAGGTGGCGCTATGACTGACTCAATATTGTTATGTGGATGTGTTCAGGAAATGACGTTTATCAACCATGTAAAGTTTCAGGCAGATCGGACATTGTGTGGTTGAGTTATAAGGACTTCCTTTTCCATGGCGAAGCGTTGAGGTTTGTCATGCTGCCACGGACACGCCCCTCTGCAAAAACTCTAGATCTTCACAATATATCATCGCTAGAGCTTTCAGATAACACTACCCAATTTTGGTGCTGATACGATAAAATTTGTGAGAGGAGTTTGTTACAGTGTAAAACATGTCATTTCCGGTGGCCAGCAGGTGGCGCTATAACTGTAACTGGATATCGGCATGTAAACGTGTTCAGGTCAGGACTCTTATCAAACGTGTGAATTTTGAGGCAGATCGGATAATGCATGTCTGAGTTATAGTGACTTCCTGTTTTGTGGCGAGTCGTCAAAGTTTGCGAGGCCGCCACGGACACGCCCATCGACGAAAACTCTAAAGCTTCGCAATTTAACATCGCCAAGGCCTTTAGATGACAAAACCCAATTTTGGTGTCGATCGGATAAAATCCCTAGGAGGAGTTCGTTAAAATACAACGCCTGGAAATGGCAAAAACGCCACTTTTTCGCCGCAGGAAGTTAAAAATATCCGACTTCCTGTTGGGTTTGAGATATGGCTCTAAGAGACTTTTTCGTATGTTTTGGTGTGTTTGAGGTGTGTGCCAATTTTCATGCATGTGCGTGATTCGTGGATCGGGGGCTCGTCGATTTAATTTTTCTAGGTGGCGCTGTTGAGTCATTTTGCCACGCCCACTTCAGAAGCCCATAACAAACGTAAATTTTCGCCACTTATGAGGCGTGTGCAAAGTTTCGTGAGTTTTCGGGCATGTTTAGCCCCTCAAAACTGCGATTCATTCCGCGGAAGAAGTCGGAAGAATAATAATAATAAACGGAGCAATTCCAATAGGGCCTTGCACCGTTCGGTGCTCGGTCCCTAATAATAATAATAAACGGAGCAATTCCAATAGGGCCTACGCACCGTTTCGGTGCTCGGTCCCTAAATAATAATAATAATAATAATAATAATAATAATAATAAAAAACGGAGCAATTCCAATAGGGCCTACGCACCGTTTCGGTGCTCGGTCCCTAATAATAAACAGAGCAATTCCAATAGGGCCTACGCACCGTTTCGGTGCTCGGTCCCTAAAAACATTTAGTCACCATTTAGTCTGAGGCCATGGGGTTTATAAAACTTACTAAACAGTGAATACAATGTTGTATGCTAGACAGGAAAGACAGATGTATCAGTGTTGTGTCAGCTGATAAATATGTAAAGGAATCAAAAAAGGGTTAGAGATTCCTTCATAACCATACAGGATTTGCTTCAAAATCATGTTTCCATAACTGTAGGAAGTTTAATATATACAAAATAATGATGATGATATTAATAATAATATTAATAATAACCATAATAACAATAATAATAATAATAATAATAATAATAATAATAATAATAATAATAATAATAATAATTCTGTAAAAACACATCTTAATAGTTGGTAATCATGGAACATTATTTCTTGCACATGACCAAACATCTTGTTAAAACACTTGGAGCTTCAATGAGAATGTATATTTTGGGCTGGATGCTTGGCCATTTCGTATTATCCAATATTCATTGAGATGGTGCAATGGACCTGTCAGATGAACGCCGCTCACTTTAACGTTAATATTGCTGAATCACTTTGCTTATCACAGGGTGACGAGCTGTTATAATTCGCTGAAAGCATTATGTAAATAATATATATAATATGTAATAAATATAACTTATTTGTAAGACTACAACAAACTCTGTACCGCATCGGATGTCACTGTAAATGCTAGCGCTCCCGTTTTTTTGTCTGCCAACTCCCTCCGCGCGCATCCTGAATGTTTACAAACATAGTAAATTGTCTATTGGTTATATACATTTTTGTACAAGAGCCTGATATTAAGCTGCCAGTACATTTTCAGTGTTTTGCAGTCTTAATTATACATTTCTTGCACAACGTGCTGTTATAATCTTTTAAAATGTCACTCTGTTGAGCTGCTAAGTTGAATGTTGAAATTCAAAGTCTGGTAATTACTATATATATATATATATATATGAGCAATTCCATGAAAATGTCAACCTTGCCATGAAAAGAAAAATGTTTTCACCAAAATAGCGAAACCGTTTCTACATTTTTTGCGCAGGCAAGTGTTTTACAGTACTTTAAAAATACTTAAAATTATCAATGTTTTCAAACTATTATATTTGATTTACTAAAGTCAAACAAATGTCAATTTCACATCCGTCACATCCATAACGAAAAAGTGTCACATCCATAACAAAGCTTTTCCCTCAAAAATGCAAAAATGTCAAAATAAAATAAAATCAATCAGTTTTGTTCTATAAAGATCCAACTCTTATCCTTTTGTTGAGCATTATTTATTTTGGGTTGTGCAGTTTAATTCACAGAATTTTTGCTAAATGTTGTATACTGTAAACTCGCAGACTTTTTTTGTCACATCCATAACGCTTGATTATTTTCCTCATTTAAAGTATAAAAATGTTCACAGATTGAATTTTTTTGATCCCATAACTCTGTGGTTAGTTGTTTTGGAAAATATAAACAGATGCTTCAATATAATGTTAACGTATACTTTCTCTGCGAATTTATGTTTTGAATTTTTACTGCAAATGTCACATCCATAACGCTGGAATCAGCCATATATATATTTCTACAGTGTATGGGGAATGTTATCGCACTTAAAACAAATGAAAACAAAAATCTTTTTTGACAAACAATTGACATTACCTAAAAAATCAACCTATGCTCATTCTGGAAATGTAGCCCTACATGAATTTCTTTAGATCGCGAATTATGTCGACAGGATTCAAGTCCAGCGAAGAACAGTTTCAGAAAGCAGGTAAGACAAAAACAAAAGGCAAAAAAAAAAAAACATTTGATCAACAAGTGTGAGAATGTGGTAAAATCTGAAAACCTGGTACAAAACTGGGGACTTTTCTATATTGCTTTTCAAAACACTGTCTGTTGTGTAGAGAAGAGGGTAGGCACTGGCCAATTGGTGCTTTTTAAAACACTATTGGTGGGGTGTAGGGAAGGGGAGGGTGGGGTTTTTGGTCAGTCAGTCAGTCAGTCAGTCAGTCAGTCAGTCAGTCAATTGACAGAAGCCTCTGGTGGATTTATGCAAGAAGAGCTGACGCAAATTGCACTTGCAAGAGAAATTTGAGATATCAAATATGTATAAAGTGGCCTCTGGGGAATTCGTAAAAACAAAAACTGCAAAAAAAAAAAAAAAAACTCCTGGGACGTGTTTCCTGAATGAGCCTAGGTTGCAAAAAATGTAAATGAAATCGCATTTACACATTACTCATTTTTGATTGACACATTTATTATTGATTCTTGACTGAAAGCCACATTGTCAGTTAGTTCAAGCAATTGCATAGTTCACTGTATTACACCTACAACAAAGTGGCTGTCTTTGTCCAACACAACAGAATATTATGTACTGACAGATATTAGGTTGACATTATTTTGGCACTTTCTGACACCTTTGTATGAAAGACATTTGCTTCCCTCCATCTCTAATCCTCTTTAAAATATGAATTTGAATCATTAGGAAAAACAGGCCATTTCATGTCATTAGTAAGAGAAAGAAATAACTCTTTGCAGAGTTGTCAGCATCACTCAACTCAAAGCATTATAATTACACCAAGCAGCAAGCTGTCAGAATACAGAATCACTTGGGCAAGTTATGACAGAATAAATAAACCCGAATAACTCTTTCATCCTCTCTGTCTGTCTCTGTCACTCACTCACTCTCAGGATATGCCCCTGTCACCGGGATGTGCCACCCTGTCCGCAGCTGCACCCTCAATCATGAAGACGGCTTCTCTTCTGCTTTTGTTGTAGCCCATGAGACAGGACATGTGTAGGTTTTTAAACATGACCAGGCTCTTTTCAGCCTTTATACACTGATGTTAGCCCTCAAAAAGTGTTTTATGTTGGTACACTCTGTTCCATATGTGTGGTTTTGCATTTTAATTCAAAATAGATTTGTTCTGGTTATAAACCTTGCATAATTCATGTTTTTAAATAAGTTCTCATGGTCAATATGCTGTATTGCAAACACTTAAGGTAAGGCCACTATTCAGAGAAATAAAACAAGACACAAAATCTGGATGTCTCACATGAGTGAACTTGCACATCTTTTAAAGATGTGATAAAGACAGAGACATCAGGATACTTGATAGATAATACTTTGTACTTACTATCCTACTTGCATGCTCAAAATTTTTTTTTTGATCTCATGGTTAGATTCAGCATTCAGTCCTGCTTCTGACAACAGAAGCTTATAATCTGTGGACATCTAAACATCTACAAAAGGGTTTTATGATAAAAAAAAAAAAAACTCACCACCTACACATAGATTATCCATGGAGTCAACCTCCTTATCTTCTTTTCAGTATGGAAACAATTGTTCAATACTTTACCCTTTGCAACAGCTGTTTTTATCTATTTTTCTCTCTCTATTTCTCTTTCTCTCTTTCAAATGCTTTATTCAGTGTGCACATGACAACGGCTGGTAAACCATTATTATTCTGTATCTGGCCACGGTCCTGCTGACAGACATCCATTCAGTTTGGTATTACCACTGACAAAAATAACATTTGATTTAATTCAAAGCGAGATGTCAGGACCTCTGAGATTGTAATTTTCTGGCTGGCAGCCACAAAGAATTGATTTCCTCTTAAGCCTTTGTCCTTCCTGTTTCCATACTAGTCCCTGCACAAACTTCAGCATCTGTTTGACATTTGTAATGCAAGAATAGGCGTTATTATTAAATTAAGGATACCTTATTTATATATTATTAGTACCAATTCTATTTAAATATAGACAATTGCAGATCTACATGTGCTTAAAAGTTTGGGGAAACTAAGATTTGAAAGATGTGCATAAATTTATCAGCTAGCTGTTGCATTCATTCATTTTCTTTTTCAGCTTAGTCAATTTATTAATCTGAGGTTGCCACAGTGGAATGATCTGCCAACTTATCCAGCGAATGTTTTATGCAGCGTATGCTCTTCCAGCTGCAACTCATCACTGGGAAACAAGATGCAATAATTTATTAATATTTTTATGCAAGCAAATTAAGCAAAACACAATGTTTTCACCATTGATATTACTATGAAATGTTTCCTAAGCACTAAATTAATATTTTAGAATTATTGTCTAACAGATCATGTAACTCTGAAGACTGCAGTAATAAATCTGAAAATTTAACAGAGCAAGGAAATTTTTATCATATGTCTGATAATATTTTTTTTTTTCTTAAAGTCTTTTTTTTTTTTTTTGGCTAGAGGAAAAGCAGTTTTTTTATGCCTAGTTAACCTAATTAACCTAGTCTTGAAAGATATCTAGTAAAATTTATTTACTGTCATCATGGTAAAAATAAAATAAATCATTTATTAGAAATGAGTGATCAAAACAATTATCTTTGGAAATGTGTTGGAAAAATATCTCTGTTAAACAGAAAGGTAAGGGGAAAATAAACAAGCGGCTAATATTCATGGGGTTTAATAATTCTGACTTAAACTATGTATGTTCCGTTATAATAATGTATAATAATTGTATTGTATTGCAATTGTTTTCCTGTGATTGGTTGCGACTGGAAAGGCTTCCTCTGCGTAAAACATGTGCTGGATAAGTTGGCGGTTCATTCCATTGTGGCGACCCCAGATTAATAAAGGGACTAAGCCGAAAAGAAAATAAATAAATGAATGAATGTATTGCAATTATATATTGTATTTCTAAATTCTCTGTTTAGATGCTTAAATTATTATAATTATTTTAATAATTATATTTTAATTATTAATAAAAAAGTAATTTTTTACAGTATGTAATCATCAATATTGTTTAATTATTACAGTGATATAAATAGGGAGCAGGGCTTGATCCAATTAGATGTTTGTGTTGGTGGATCTACTGCCTACATAAACAATTAAATATTAAAATCAGTCTTAGCTTCAATTACTTTGTCGTTTCTCGCTCGGTTGATTCATAGTGTGCTTTTGCAATTTCATATCCAATACTAATGTTGGGAGGTGCTGGAGGTGCATCCCCATGTAGCTATATCTATGCTAATTGGGGTGAAAAATGGTATTTCTGGCCATTGCTGCATGTAAATGTTCCTGCTCACCATAATCATGCTTTTGTCTGTAGACTGGGAATGGAGCATGACGGCCAGGGCAACCGCTGTGGTGACGAAACAGCCATGGGAAGTGTGATGGCCCCTCTGGTGCAAGCAGCTTTCCACCGCTACCATTGGTCCATGTGCAGTGGGCAAGAGCTGAAGAGATACATTCAGTGAGTTCACACGTCTCTCTCTTCTCACACCTCGCTATGTTTTATCTAGAAACTGGTAAGCTTTCAACTTATGTGCATATTTTGAATGGAAATATTGCTCTTCACAGATATGTCTATGATAAGTATTCCTCATATGCCACTTGAGCCTCTGTTTTGACTGGAGCTCAGCTTTGTATAATGTCACCTCGAGTTCAGTCGACTGTTTGTTTACCTGAATTAGAGTCACCAATAGGTCATTTGCAGAGAGAGAGAGAGTAGAGGCTTGAGATCAAAGGGCTTTAATTTAACTGGTCAATAGATTGATGTGATATCCGACAGTTTACAGACAACACGGCTGACAGGGATTAACTCTAAACCAACCCGTAATTGCTGCTTTAGCCTTGACGATAACAACGTTTCTTCATAGCTTCAGCAGCATATTAATGAATCACATCTTGTAGGGGTTTTGTTTTTGTAAAATAAGTACTTACAAAGGTGTTTAAGATCCGATTAATGTCTGTTTTGATTCCGAACCTTCTTTGAAGTGATGATTTAGAAACAATGCAGCATATCAGAAGACATAACAATTTCATCTGCATGGGAGCTTTTACTGAAACAACAACAACAACATAAAAATGCCATTCACGGTTTGTTTCACAGGCTGATGCTTTGTTCTGCACCTGGGATACTTTGAAGTCAATGTTATAAAGTGAATTGTGTGAAAAGCAAACAGTTTTTTCATTCATAAAGGCTTTTTTTTTTCAGACACTTTACATGCAAATCCAAAGTTTGTCATTTGCACAGTCATGGCATCCAAACATGAACTCATTTTCTTTGGGGTTCTCAACAAAATAATTAGAATTTTCCCCTCACTCTCCTCATATAATAATAATAATAAATAATAATAATAATAATAATAATAATAATATGGTGGCACAGTGGGTAGTGCTGTCGCCTCACAGCAAGAAGGTTTCTGGTTCGAGCCTTGGCTGAGTCAGTTGGCATTTCTGTGTAGAGTTTGCATGTTCTCCTCGGGTTTGCATGGGTTTCCTCCATGTGCTCAGGCTTTCCCCACAGTCCAAAGACATGCACCATAGGTGAATTGGGTCAGCTAAATTGTGCGTAGTGTATGTGTGTGAACAGGAGTGCATGGGTGTTTCCCAGTGATGGGTTGCAGCTGGAAGGGCATCTGCTGCGTGAAACAAATGCTGGATAAGTTGGTGGTTCATTCTGCTGTTGTCATCCCTGATAAATAAAGGAACTAAGCTGAAGGAAAATGAATGAATGAACTAGTGACAGACCGTGTCATGTGTTGTCAGGGTAATTGCGTCATACACTCTTGATTTTCAGTTTGTTCTCAGTTCTCAGTGGCAATTCTAGTTTAAATGGTACCCTGGGTAAACCACCCCATCTACACCTCTTCCCCCAAACCCCAAGATATAAACAGGGTGTCCACGGAGTCTTAAAAAGTCTTAAAAGGTCTTAAATTTTAAAAACTTAATTTTAGGCCTTAAAACAGTCTTACATTTGCTAAATTACTGTGTTGTAGGTCCTAAATAATTTTAAATAGGTCTTAATTTTTCCTATGTCCATGTAAAGTTTCCCAATCGGGAAAAGACCCATTCAATCACCTGCAATACATCTCAATAAAACGTTTAATAAAAAGTTTATTTTGTTCACCAATATGGTTTTATTATCTTCCTTATAATAAAAGTATTAGTTTTTAAAATATACATTTTTAATATTTTTACAAATATTTATTTTATTTATTTATTTATTTTTTACATTTTTTTTAGTGTTAAGCTTACTTTACTTGATGAAACCTGCAGAAACTCTGTATAAAGGAGACACTTTGTGGTTGACTTTTTTTTACGCCCATTGGAACACAAGTAATTGTCTCAAATAGAAAATTCAGACAGCATACAAACAAACTGAAATTTTACTACCATTTCCATACATATGAGACTTTCTTGCCTTTTTTGCAGCAAAGTTTTCAATTATATCTTGTCATATAGCTCATAAAAGTTAACCCAAACCCAGAGTCATTGCTAGATACAAAGCTCTACTGGGACACGCCAACCATAGCCAACCCCCTCCACCCCCCTACCCCCTACACCCCATCAAAAGTTGCTTATTCAAAAACAGATCATTATCATAGTATATAAACTTTTGTTTTGTCTTCCTGCAAAACTTGCAGAGACCTCTACATAAAAGGCTGCTACTCTGGTTTCACAGTGTATAAGCGGCACATATACCAGGATTCACACAGGGAACAAGAGCAGTGCATCAGTGTCAAGCAGATGCCGCATGTGTGAGGCGCGTGGGAATGGTTGTCTGCATGCATGCATCAGTTTGCTTTCAGCAGCGTTGTTTTAGTTGCACATAGAGAATAACAAATTTGCACATGCAAAAGATGCCAAATGTGAATGCCCCCTAACGTCTTTATTCTGGGATTACCACTCTAAATGATTACTCTTGCATAAAGTAAATAATTTCTCAAAGCTTTTATTGGGGCACAGCAGATTTTTACTGGGGCACTCCGCCCCAGCAAGATGCTGCCCTGGGTGATCTCCCTAATTGCACAGGGGCGATCGTATTGCTTCGTATTGCAACAGTACAGCTTCCCCTACACCTGCGGCCTCATGTATCAACGCTGCGTACGCACAAAAACTTTGCGTACGCCAGGTTTCATGCTCATAATCACTCACGTTTGGATTTACTAACGATGAAATGAACGTGGGAATGTGCGCAGTACGCACATTTTTTGTGCATGTCTGTTTTATTTCCATTGGCGACTCCTAGAGGCAGTTGTGTTAAATTGCACTCTGCAAAGTGTCTGAGCCGTGCAATGGCAGCTGTATGAGACGGGTTCATCTAGCAAGTATATAAGGTTTCCATACCATACAGTTGACCAGCCAAACATTAAAGCACAATTTGCTGCGGTCGCCTGTTTTCCCAATGTAATCTACTGCACGCACATTGCTATAAAGACACTATCTGAAGATGAATTTGCATGCGTGAATCAGAAACATTTCCATTCAATTAATGTGCAAATAAAATATGATGCACAGACTTATTAATGATTCCTGCTTGTCTTTCTCGTGATAAATAGTAGGCAAAATCTGATTTGTAGCAGGGAAAAAAAGAGGAAAGAGTTTACCAGACGCTGGTTTCGAACCGAGTTCATGCTTGAACGTGTCAAAACATGTTGACATGCGTATTACAAGCTGCGCCACTGAGACTGTTAAGGGTACTGCAACATTTTACACTTATAAATCACACTATTTCTTTTTTAATTCACTCAGTGAGATGTTCAGACCCAACTGTGTTAACCGCATCAGCTAAACTCTCCCACTCTATTTTTTTCTTTTTTTGTTAATTCCGGAGAACAAACTTGCAAATAACGGCGCTTTTCTCCGGTCTATCTCCGAAAGGAGCACCTCCAATTCACATTCTGTTCAAAGTTTCCCTTTTTGCTTGATTTTGCCATTGCTTTTTCGTTAGGTTTTGCCAAAGTAGAGTCATTAGCATATTCATACGGGGGAGGAGGCAGGGAGGGGAATTGTGCTCGTGCATGTTGCGCTCAGTTTCACATTCATTCGGATGTACAAAAGAATATGCGTGAGATTCGGCATACGCAGTGTTTCATACATCTGAATTTTTTTTCTGCGTACGCAATGTTTTAGTATGATTTCCACGCAAGTCTTTGTACATGAGGTCCCAGGGGTGTCCAAACTCGGTCCTGGAGGACCGGTGCCCTGCAGATTTTAGCTCCAACTTGCCTCAACACACCTGCAAGGATGTTTCTAGAAAGTCTAGTAAGAGCTTGATTAGCTAGCCCAGGTGTGTCTGATTGAGTTTGGAACTAAACTTCACAGGACACCAGCCCTCCAGGACCGAGTTTGGACACCCCTGCCCTACACTATACTGGAGCATTAGAATCCATACAGACCGCGTAAGGTGAGCACTCCCTGCTGGCCTCACTTGCACATCTTCCAGCAGCAGTTTCCCATATGGTCTCCCATCCATGTACTAACTTATTGCAGCCCTGCTTAACTTCACTGGGTGATCATGTGAGAGCTGATTGAAAAAAAAAAAAAAACATGTCACGGAATCAGAGTTTCAAGTGATTTCAAGTCTCTTTAGAAAAAAAGCCTGACAAAGAAAAAAATCTGTAATTATTGAGATGGCGTGGTCCAACGGCAAACAGCTTCCATCTGAGATTTTTTATGCACAGTATAGTCGGGGCTAAAGGTTCTGGGCTGGATTTCTGTAATAAACCTCTCAATTTGAGGTCATTTATTCATTTTAGCTCTCATTGATTCGTTCAATCATTTCTGAAGACATCCAGTGCCACTTAAGCATTTTTGAATTTATATACCTCTCATAGTCCAGGGTTAATCCAATCATGGTCAAGGACTGATGGGATGGAAATTACCCATGAATCTTGGCAACTTGCTGCAGCAAATATAAATGAGGTGTTGATCAGCTCTTTATGACAGGAAAAAGCCTTTTCACCGTTGTCTATTGAGTTTCAAGTGGTCACTGTTCTCTCTAGCCTCCGAGCTGCATATAATGAATGCTTTTTCCTCTATGCACACAAAACAAATTGATTTGTTTTTGAGAAGGAAATGGGACATGTCTGTGTTTACCAATACAACTGGTTTTTGTGTCATTATCAATAACAACGATTCTGTCATCAACTTTAACATGCACAGTGCTTTGACAAAATGCGGATGATTAAGAGAATCCAGATAGTCTGGTGATGAAAGGCTTTACTTTTACCAGAAATGTTTAAGCAGATCATCACTGACCTCAGTTTAATTGGTAAAATATATCTGTAATAAGTCTTTTTGAAGTTCAAAATCTTTGTAGATTGAAAGTTTGAAAGCACTGTCTTTGTAAGTCCTGGCCTCACTGTAATTTTTATCTTAAACATTTAATGTAAATGCTCAATTTCATGGATATTAAGATAATGCTTCTTTTTTCTTATGAACTCCATTTTAATAATATGAATCATGTGAAACATCTAAAATATTTCAAGTTCCATTTCATTGCACCATACTGTCCATTTTATGCTCACCGTTTGCAGCTGAACTTTAGAAGAGGCTTCGTTCATTAAACATTGCTAATATTGGGTTTAGTTTAACAGCTGTACTAACTATTTTCTGTTTGTTTTTCACAGTTCATATGACTGCCTGCTGGATGACCCTTTCAAACATGACTGGCCGCAGCTCCCTGAACTCCCCGGCATCAATTACTCCATGGATGAGCAGTGCCGTTTCGATTTTGGAGTTGGATACAAAATCTGTACTTCAGTGAGTGTAGCTAGAGGCTATATTCTCCTTTGACAGAACTGATAAATGTCAGTCATTAAACCAAGCCAATCTTAATGTTTAATTTTTTGAATGAATGACTTATTGAGATCTCCTTCAATGGTCTTTAAGCTTGACATATATTTTTTAAATATTTCAATGCCACATTTCCCTTCAGAACGTGTGTATATATATATATATATATATATATATATATATATATATATAAATATAATTTCTCACTTTTTCACTATACGAACATGTACAGTAAATTTTAAATTTTATTTTAAGGTCAATATTATTAGCCCCCTTTAAGCAAATTTTTTGACTGTCTACAGAACAAACCATCGTTATTGAATTAATTGCCTAAATATTCTAGCTTGCCTAATTAACCTAGTTAATCCTTTAAATATCGCTTTAAGCTAATGAGAATGCGCGAGTGAATGAACATGACCACACGCAATGCTGCAGTACTGTACGGTACAGCACAAAATGGTCTAACACAAGAAAAACATGACCAGCACGTGGAAGTTATGTAACGCAGTGAACATACTGAACTGATATACTTTTTCAGCGCACACACGGAGAAGCAATGGAAATTAAATAGACTAATCATAATTGTCCCTTTCCCAGAGATGGGTTGCAGCTGGAATGGCATCCGCTGCATAAAACATGTGCTGGATAAGTTGGCGGTTCATTCCGCTGTGGTAACACCGGATTAATAAAGGGACTAAGCCAAAAAGAAAATGAATGAATGAATGAATGATCGTCCTATCAAAAGTATCATGAGTTTTTTATAATGGTTTGTTCGCTAAAAACTACATTTTCAAAATGTTGTGGATCAACTAACAGTCTCGATCTAAAAACGTAGCTCTCACAAGCCTCCAACTTAAATGATGCTTTGAATGTTATTTTAGTAGAAGCATAAAAATAAATGCCTTAAAAAAAAAACAATAAAAATTTCACCTCGAGCAAATTAACTTCTGCAACTTTATTTTTCATAATTTCATTTTAGTTCAGTTTCAAACATCAATGTTCTCCTTCAAATGATCATTATGTTTTTTTTTTTTTTTCAAATGGACTGGCCAGAGAATAGAAAAGTTGTTGTTCCCTGCGCCACCTGGTGGATTTTGCATAAAGTACAAAAATGTTTTGTTTTTTTAATGAAAAAGCGGCTTTTGCTGCTGCAGCACAGCACGTGACTGCACGTGTCAAATTGTAGCACTGCGCATGAAGAAATGCGTGTTCTCAATGGTCATATCCGTAAGAGGCATCAGAAAGTTTCTTCTAAAATTAGTATTTTTCGGTAACACTTTAGAATAACTATCCGTTATAACTAGTTAATAGACCATTAATAAACTGTTAGTTAACAAGTTATAAATGACTTGTTAAATAAAAGTTAATAGTTTTTTAATTATTTACAACTGTGCCTTATAGATGGGCAATGGATAACTTACAAGCCGTTAGTTGACAAGTTGTAAATGACTTCTTAACTGTATTTTAATGATTTATAACTATACCTAATAAATTTTTAAGAGATCATGAACAAGCTGTTAGAAAATTACTTAATAAAGACTTGTTAAGAATCAGTTATGGTGTGTATATGTTATCGGGACGTTATTCTAAAGTTGCAGCTATTTTTCATTTATTAATCGTTAGTAAATGAGGAATAGTTGCAACTTTAGAATAATGTTCCAATAACATGCTTAAGCTAATAACTAACACTTAACTATTATATTTACTCACACTTTACAGACGAGAGTTGTTCATCGTTTGTTAACCATCTACTAATACCAATGAATCCTTGTAGAACAGCAAATGGATGGAATAAGTTCAAGCTACAGAAATTTTATGTAATATTTAAAATATAAAATGTTTGTTTCTAAACCTTGTTTCACTTATAGGCTTTTCTGTGTGCTGTGTTTTACCAAAGAAACTCCACAGGTGAAATGTTAAAAGTTGTCTTTAATGTATAGAAACACACATACTGAACCATGACATGGCAGTACAGCAGTATGCAAGAATACAAACCCATGAAGTGCTAAACATGAAAACAAAATAAATAAAAAATTTAAAATTACACCAGTCGTCTAATAAAAAAGTTTCACTGGTGTTATTATAGGGTGAACAACCGATCTGTAAAGTGTGAGTAAATATAATAGTTAAGTGTTAGTTATTAGCTTAAGCATGTTATTAGGACGTTATTCTAGTTGCAACTATTCCTCATTTACTAACAGTTAATAAATGAAGAATAGCTGCAACTTTAGAATAACGTCCCAATAACATATATACACTATTAACTGATACTTAACAAGCCTTTATTAAGTTATTTACTAACAGCTTGTTCATGATCTATTAATAATTTATTAGGTATAGTTATAAATCATTAAAAAACAGTTAAGAAGTCATTTACAACTTGTTAACTAACGGCTTGTAAGTTATCTATTAGCCATCTATAAGGCACAGTTGTAAAAAATGGACAAACTATTAACTTTTGTTTAACAAGTCATTTATAACTTGTTAACTAACAGTTTATTAATGGTCTATTAACTAGTTATAACAGATAGTTATTCTAAAGTGTTACCTATTTTTCTTATAAATAGGTTCAGGGATTTTACTTTTATGGCAAAATAAGTCATTGCTTTTAATATTTAATAACTAAACATAAGAAAGCTTTAGAAAAATGTTCATTGTAGAAGAAAATTCCAGATTTGTGCACCTGAACTCTATATATATTCATTATTGGTATCTGGCCTTTGATTTTCAGTATGTTTTGGCCAATCGCATAACTCATGTTTTGTTATTCCTCCAAATTCTCAACTCTACATACTTTCTAGTGTAAAATGAATGGTTGCTGCAAAGTACAAATCACAGGTACAGTGTCAGGTAAACAAGCCTTACCCCTGATTTATGGCCTGACACTGAGACGCAGCAGATGGCAAGATGTTTGGCATTCTGTCATCAAAGGCTGTAACACTAGTAAACAAGACCAGCATGCTGTGATCCTTCCTCTCAACCTTACTGCCATGCCTAAACAATATGTGGCAAGCTGTGCGTCACAGCCCTGGATAAACTTACATCTTAATCAAATGTTCTATCACTCACTAGTCCTGCTTTAAACAGTTGGCTCTCTGAAGATCTGAAAAAAAAGGCCAGTTTGTCATTGCCGTTGATAGACAACAATTAGATTATAGTAGGCTTGTAAACAAAATGTTTGTTATAAACTATTTGTTGGTTCTCGCATTTGGAGTGTGACATTTTAATTAGCTCTCTGAGGAGAGTCTGGTATAAAAGAAAGTTATTTTGCAGCAATTCTGTTTCATCTGTTATTCTACTAATGTGCAGCTGAATGTTAAATGTTTAATAAGCACATTACTATGAAAAAGCTACATTTGACATGCTTGAAATTCATCAGTTTTTTTCCCTCTTATTTCAAACTCATACCTTATGACTTTCTGTGGAGCGCAAATGAAGAAAAAAAGAGTGAATGTGTGTGTTTTTTTTTTTTTTTGCAATTAGGCCGCCAACTCGAAGTCCTCGAAGCTTCTAAAAGGATGTAAACACTGCAAAAAATGCTTTTTTTATACTTAGATATTTTATCTTGTTTCTAGACAACATGCATGTCTAGGACACAATTCTTAATTTAATTGTTTTTAGATATTTGGACTAAAAATAAGACTAAATATGTATTAAGAAAATCTATTTTTTTTTTTTTTGCAATAAAAAAACATCTTAATACTGTTATGAAAAGTTACAACATAAAAAAAAACAATGCTATAATTCTTTTTAAACTTAAAAAAAAAAAAAGAATCAGTTCATGGTAAAATGCAAATAAATCATTCCCAATAACCAGTCACTTTCATTTAATTTCATGCAAACTTGAATAACATTACAAAGAAAAATCTGGCAATCACAGATTTCATACAATGCAGTGCACAAAAGTAATATAAAGCTCTAAGCCAGCGACAGAGCTAAAGAAAAGTGATATGCTTTAGTTCAGCTGCTTGCCAAGGGGCTTGTTAGGGGCTTTAAATGGAAGTTCATTTTACAGAAACAGTCCTTCCCAACTATGCCTCTAACATAGCGATGTTTCTCCCCTGGGCACATCCGTCCATTTATTAAGCATACGTCTGAGACTTCCTACTTGACATGGCACTGCAAATAAGCAGCACTGTTTTTGGCAAAGCACAGAGCTCAGAGATGAACCTTGTATTTTTAGCTGTCAACCATTAGTTTCGTCTCTGAATCTTGTATTCCAGGCTGTCGTTTTAATTATTTGTTTACATCTTATTTCTTTGTTGTTTTTGGCTTTAAATATATATTCTGCAGCTTCCAGTGTGTTCCCGTTGAAATGTGTGTGTCACATTCTCCCGCTGTGTTTAATGAATAGAGATAGCAGAGAACAGTAGTCCAGCTGTGTATCAACCTCACGTGGACAACATTGTCACTTACAAGATTATGCCTTCTGATTCACATAAATTTTTCATTATTAACCCCCCAAATGTAGTGATAAATAACTGCTACCCATTTGCATTTGAAAATAAACATAATCAGGTTAATTGTGGCCATGAACATTGCATTGTGATGTTCGCATCCATTGTGCTTTATACCTAAAAACAAAGGAAACCACAGCTGACGTGAATTAAATGGCAATTCAGTCATCGTTTATTCACTCTCGAGTCAGCCCAAGCTTTAATGGCTTTTATCTACAGCACCTTGAAAAAGGTTGGTGAGCAAACAGTTTAGGCTTCAAAGTTGATTGGAATCCAAGCTGTTGTCCTATCAACATTATTAATTTTCATTCCAATGAATAAATGAACGAATGAATGAATGAATGAAGGAAGGAAGGAAGGAAGGAAGGAAAGAAGGAAGGAAAGAAGGAAGGAATCAATCAATCAATCAATCAATCAATCAACCCATATATCAACCCATATGTCAACCCATATATCAACCCATAAATCAACCCATCAATCAATCAATCAATCAACCAATCAACCCATATATCAACCCATAAATCAACCCATCAATCAACCCATCAATCAATCAATCAATCAATCAACCAATCAGTCAATCAGTTTTTTAATATGACAACAATTAGGATTGGTACATAGATTGTTTTTTATGCTTTTCTCTTTTTGTCTGCAATACCTTGAAAAAGGTTGTTTGACAGTTTAAGTTTCAAACTTTCAACACAAAATACACTTGAAGTTGATTTGAATCAAAGCTGTTGTCCTATCAACATTATTAATTTTCATTCAAATCAATCAATCAATCAATCAATCAATCTATCTATCTATCTATCTATCTATCTATCTATCTATCTATCTATCTATCTATCTATCTATCTATCTATCTATCTATCTATCTATCTATCTATCTATCTATCTATCTATCTATCTATCTATCTATCTATCTATCTATCAACCTTTATGATGACAACAATTAGGATTGGTATGTAGATTCAGTTTTTGGAAGACTGTCTTATTAAGTCGAATAAATCAACCATAAAATCCAATTCTTTTTAATGCATTTATTTTGTCCAAAATGACTGACGGGAGTGAATTATTGATGCACACTTATTTGTTCTTCCGGACTGAACATAATATGCTGCTTTTGTTGTGCAATCTCAATAAATTCAGATGGCATGGTCTGCTGATAGTAACATGACTAATGTGTTGTTAGAATACACAGAACATTTTCTGGATGTCTAGCAGTGGCACTGGCAACCTCTAGAGGGAAAATTAATTCTCTCTCTCACCCCCCTCTCTTTTTCTCTATCTCTCTCTCTATTTATATATCTGTCTTTTTATTAAATCAGAGCTTGAGCATGTTTCTAAGCGGAAAAAGATTGTCAGGGCTCATCTCTGCTGGATTTTTGCTCAAAATAAGTTCAAAATTCCTTTAAATTTGTCTCGCCATTTAGTTCCCTCCAACACTCGCTTTCAAAATGCCAAGCATCCAACCATTGCCACTTTTCTCTCTCTCCAGTTCCGCACATTTGATCCATGCAAGCAGCTGTGGTGCAGTCATCCAGATAACCCCTACTTCTGCAAGACCAAGAAGGGGCCTCCGTTGGATGGGACCGAATGTGCACCTGGCAAGGTAATTCCGAGTGTCTGCCTGTTGCTGTGCCCGTTCTGTCTGCTTGTTCCCAATTTAAAGCTGTCTCACCCCTTTCCCTCTTAGTGGTGCTATAAAGGTCACTGTATGTGGAAGAATGCCAACCAAGTGAAGCAAGATGGAGCCTGGGGTGCCTGGAGCAAGTATGGCTCCTGTTCTCGCTCCTGTGGGATGGGTGTTCGCTTCAGAACCCGCCAGTGCAACAACCCTGTGTAGGTTATACACTGATTTCACAGTCAGGATTGCTATGAACACTTACTAATAGATACTAGGGATGCTTTGATCGATCTGCATTGGCCGATTGGTACTTGCCGAGCTCATAAACCGATGACAAGTGTTTGTTTATGAATTTACAAGCAGAGCACCCATATACTATACATCAGTAGCTACAACATGCAAGGAGATAAATGATGCGTGGGGTTTGAGCGTCGCTGCATGTCACAGTAGCTAAAATACATACAGATGCAGTGCAAACCCTGTTTATATAGTTTATTGGGGCGACTCATGCAAGTGATGGTCTCTTTGTTGCAACCATTGCATATCAAGTGTTTTGAGATGACACGAGCGGAGTGATCACCCCTTGTCTATTGTCCAACCTTATGATCTCTCCCAGAAGCTCTGACAGTCTCCCACATATTCATAGTGGCTCTGCGACGCTTGCAAATTAGAAAAAATACCCCAGAAATCATGCCGATGAGAGTGAATGAGAAGAGAACAGATTGTGAGAAGAACAGTGATGTTCTAAGCATTACAGTTATTAGATTAAATTAATAAAAGCGTAAAGATATCTTAGGTGCAAATACCCCTCTCTCTCGTAGATGGATCGAGCTGCTGTGAGGTTCTCCGGATAGCAGTCGTTGTGCAGCTGTCAATAGTTGCAAATGAGCAAAATTTGAGAATGGCCTTGCATATGTTGACCTTTTACAAATAAAAATTTAAAGTTCTATGTTTTTGACAATATTGCAAGTTCAATGAAGGCTGGCTGGAAATATTGGGGAAATAATAAAAAAAAACTTAAAAATATATGTATATTTAAGTTGTTATATAGTTCTTGCAATAAACAATAGTTTATACACCTATTTTATGCTTCTGACCATGATTTGTCCACTCTAAATGGTCAAAAGAACTGATCATATGCAACATCCCTAATTTATTCTTATTCTCTTAGTTAAAGAAAAATCTCCACTTCAGTAAGCCTATTATACTTAGAGGAAAATGTGCTTTATGCAATGGCAACTTTATATATAGCTTGAATCATCAGAATCAGTACTCGTTATCAGCTGATCATCATGACAAGAAATCGGTACTCGGTATTGGCTGTAAAAATTCTGATCAGAGCATCTATAGTAGAAACTTTCCATAATCAGATGCAGTAATTATATGGGTGACTGCAATTTCATAGAAATGAAAAGACCAAACTGTCTAGAAATAAAGCATACTGCCATGTGGCATGAGCATTATTGATTGTATCCATTGTGAAGCTTTCAATCACATCTTTTGAGTTCTTCAGTTAGATTATTGTTTCCTTTATCTCAGTGATGTTTCAATAACGGAAATTTCTGAACAAACATAACATCTGATTTTGATTTGCTGAAATATCTAATAGAGATAGAGATTTTTTAAAAGAGTGTAAGGATCTGATTAACTGTTTACACTCCTGAATATTGCTATATCGTGAAACAGAATGTTTTAAATCAGAGCAGCTGCCATCTTTATCATCAGTGCATCATTTTCTTTTCAAATGCAGTAGTTTTTAAACCAGGCAAGCAGATGCTTTTTATTAGTAATCATGATTGAAAAAAGCAAAGAGCTTAGAATTGAGCTTTTTTAATGGTGGATCATTTGTGTGGAAGTTGTGAAAAGTGATATTTGAGGACCTGTTAAACATCATTAGAGTTAAACAGATGCTTGCACTAATAGAAAAATATTGGATGAATGAAAATTAAAAGTCTTGTAATAAAAAGTTGCTAACATTTATGCATTTATTAGCTTGCCTCAGATCTAAATATTTTATTTGCTGAACGACGGCATAGATGTTTTTCTGGTCTGTGTTTGTACCAGGCTTGTTCATTGAAGAGATTTATTTGAACGTTGTTTATATTAACTTTGTTTATTAACTGGTTTTAAGACCGCAGTCATGTGTGTCTGAAGTTATTTGTTAACCTTTCTACAATGATTATCTGTTGTCTGTTAGTCCATCTAATGGAGGCCAGGACTGTCCAGGGGTGAACTATGAGTACCAGCTCTGTAACACAGATGATTGTCCCAAACACTTTGAAGACTTCAGAGCCCAGCAGTGTCAACTTCGCAACTCCCACTTTGAATATCAGAACGCTAAACACCATTGGCTTCCCTATGAACACCCAGATGGTGAGTTTTTTCCTTTTTAGTGCAAAGTGTAACTTTTAAGAAATATTAATTATATTTATGGGTTCTCACATTTGGGGCCATATCTACCAAACATGGCAAATTTACATAAGTGTTCGATTGCAAAACAGCGCAGATGGGCTTGGGAATGTTAACAGATGATTTACAGACAACGCACAAATTTAAGAACAAAATTGTAACATCTGATGTACATATAGACTAATGCAAAAAGTGCAGATACAAATAGCATAGTGACAAAAAAGCAGAGTCAATGCTTACAAGGTGCAAATGATCACATAATCTAGGCCCTTAAACATGTCCATCAGAAAAAACACTCATTCAATAGACACATTATTTTCTCTATTGTTGTTCAAGGGGCCCGTTAGATATGTGCAGTGTTGGGGGTAAGGGGTTATAAGTACCACATGTTACAAAATAATATTACTTTTCAAAGTAACGGATAAAGCAATGCATTACTTAAGTAATTAAGTAATATTGTTTGAGTTGCTTTTTTAAAAAAATGTAGCGCGAGTTACTTTTTACCTTGGGTAACTGGCTTTTACAAAATATATTGAGGAATAAAAATGACCTGAGATGAGATGAGCGAGGTAACAGACAGACGGCTCACACTCATCATCATCATCAGGTCTCTTTTTTCACAGCAGATGAGTCAGTGTACTGTTCAAGTAGCTGAATAGCTCAGGATATTAGATTATTTTGAGTCAGAGGGGGTATCCGGTATGTTAGTAGTTGCAAACCGTTTCACGACAACTCAATTTTCAATTTAATTCAATTTAATGAATTGGTTCAACTGGTTCTTTTAGAAGATACGGTTAAAACAAACAATTAATTCGTGAATCGCCCGTCATCACTACCGACCAGAGGTGGGAGTAAGTAACAAGCAAGTCTCAAGTCATAACCTTCAAGTCTCAAGCAAGTCAAGTCATTTTTTGTCAGACTCAAGTCAAGTCAAGTCACTGCTTATTTCAAGTCACGTCAAGTCGTAGCTTGGTCTAGCAAGTCACATTTAAGTCAACCTAAATATATATATGAGAGAATGAGTGTGCTTATTTCAAAGCCATTAAAATATACTATTAATAAACGAGACCCTAAATGACAAAACCAATCTTATAGTGCACAGGTAAATTTTTTTGGGGGGGAAAAAACTATTGAATTAAAATGATAATTTTTTATTTTATTACAAAAAACATTATTATATTAAAAGTAAAGATCATCTTTCTCGAATACATCTTGTACATTTCAATAACTCCTATAAAAATGTTTTGACTAGTAATATGCATTGCTAAAAATGAACTATAAAGGCAATTGTCAACCTTTAGATTCCAGATAATATATATAGCCCATTTCACACATACGTTACAGGCAGGTTTTAAGATCCATGGTCTGAAATGGTTTCTTGTTTTGCCTAACTTAATTCTTCATTTTTTTAAACTTAACCCTTAACATGTCAAAAACGTAAACGTTAAACTTTAGCATACAAATACAATACTACTAGTGCTTCTCACAGGTTTGAAGTGTACTTGCGGTGGTAGCTGGATAGAAACACACCATTTACCCACATCACAAAAATAGTTACCTATATGTGACTCACAAAATATATTACATTTTTTACAAAAACTTCATTTGTTTTGACAATGTTATACACTGTTTACTTTCAATGGGTTAAAATAAAAAAAAATAAAAAACTTAAAAATGACATCCACTTTCTCTTACCTATTTAGGAGCCATGAGCACCGCTGACAGGTCAAATCTTCATCTCTCTCTCTTTCAAGTTCAAAGCAAACTTGAATGCAAAAGTATTTTAGATATGTATATAAAATAGCCTATGTATTAGCCTATGACATCATCAAATGATAATAGAATTATCATCAAGAATGATAATAGCTGTAAAAACATGTCACTAAATATACACAAGCACTGAGTCAGACAAAATAGTATAAACTTTGATTAGCCGTCGTATTTGTAATCTTTAAACCCATAAAATCTTTGGCGGAGCGCCTTCCATTTTTGGATGGTTGAATAGCAAATGAATCGTTCAAATGAATCGTTTAAATTAATCTAATGAATCATTTAAAGCGGTTCTTCTTAATGAACCGAAACATCCAGTACAGCAAATTCAACTGATTCTTTCGGACCGATCTGAGAACCGATGAGCTGTTAATACTGCGCATGCGTTACTTTCGGTTTTGTTTTGTTTCTAAATGCTTAATATATAACAAACGGTTGTGTATTCAACAAAAACAAGTTTTTTTCGAGTCATTTAACTCCAAGTCCAAGTCAAGTCTCAAGTCATGACTGTCAAGTCCAAGTCAAGTCGAGTCTTTTTTTGGATATTTGTCAAGCAATTCTCAAGTCCTAAATTTTGTGACCTAAGTCTGACTCGAGTCCCCCATCTCTGCTGCAGACAGTCAGAAACTAAAACAATGGCCGGCTGGAGACTTAGGGTGCTTTCACACCGAGACTTTTGTTTTGGAACCTGTCTCGTTTACCCAGTTAGCGTGGTTCGTTTGGCATATGTGAATCCAGCAATCACGCTCGATCTGCACCAAAACAATCGGTCCGAGATCCCCTGAATGAGGTGGTCCCAAGTATATACTATTATTATAAGTATATAATAATAAGTATATAGGTATATAGTATTATGTATAGTATTATGGATATGTAATAGGCATACGGCTATATGAAGAGAGAAGTATAAGTAGGGCGGGAGGTCCAAACATTCCTTGTCTCCTGGAAGTCCTGGGAGTCTCCCGCAAATGTACAAGGACTCCCGGATGCCCGCAAATAAGTGATAATCTATCAGAAATTCGTGTGTCCTCAAATATGTCGCGCACCCTTTTTACCCCTCCCAACCGCCACCCAACCACCCCCACACCTTCCACCTTCATAAAAATGTAGTTAATGTAGTTAAAAAGCAGCTCTAAAAATATAGTTTTATTTTATTGAGGCTTATCTTCTTTATTGTATAAATAAATATATATATTGGCAGACAGTATATTCGTGTTATCAATGGCTGGATCACCTGTCAATTAAACTGACTGCAAACGGTCAATTCATTTCAGACCTTGCAGACATAGCTTGAGATCATTAGGATATGTAATGCATGGAAGCGGGTGATAACGAAAGTTCTCTTTTTTGCAAAATTATGGGTAATGTCCTTTCTACACTGCAAGTACACTCATTTAAATTGATAATACTATGATGACTTATTTTGAACCACTTCATTGTCAGGATTTAAATATTGTGTATAGAATGTTTCTTTTCATTGTTCTTTTTTAAACTGTTATATACAAGCAATATCACACTAGCAGTTGTGCTTTTTTACGTGACTACCATAGCTGTGTTTAGCCCCATTATGTGTTTAGCCAGGCTGTCAAACCATTTATCCTCGCATCCATCCATCCTTTATATTGTATGTCGTGTTTTATTTTTGCTGAAATGCATTTCTTTCCGACCATAATCAATGAAAAAAATATATATATATGTGGGCTGTGTTGTGCCTACTCACTCTGGTTTACGGTTCTTCTCTGTCATTTCTAGTTTATCAAATCACGCATTGAACCGTTGCATTTCTCCGTCTCTTTATTTCTCTCAAAAAATAAATAAATAGATATAGTCTATACTATATTTCTCCCAAGCCTTATTTTAATGGCAACACAGACAAAAGCAGACTCCCTGTGCCATACAGTTACATACAGCACAGATGTGGAAGAGTGGGAACAGCGTGGAGCAAAATCAGCTGAGACAAGCTTAGCAGGGACAAGCTTGCGAGCTGTGTGGGTCCATACAAACAGCACGTAAATGCTTCCTCCCTCCCGGGAAAACCACAGCATAACCATTCCAATTGTGGTCAAGTCTATTTTCTTCAGTGTGTGCAGCTCAAGAAGCTGTCTAGGCCCTTGGAGAACCATCACACACAAGGTGACAAGATGTCATTTGAAAGCCTTTTCCAAACTTACGTCACTTTATGTAATGTTTCTGCCAATTGCTATTTATTTTTGGGTGCATTGTTCTGTTCTGTTTTCGAGTAAGATGAAAATTGTGATTTATGAGTAAAGTGGAATGAAATTTCACAATGCTTAATAATAAGGCCAGTTAGAAATATCACTAATGGTCATCTGTAGATGTACTGTTATGTGTGCACTTTAAAACTGCAGTTTACTGTAGTTATATTATAGAAATGCATCTGTGGGAACTGGTATATCCAAAAGTACTCTTTTTTTTTAAACAGCAAGTTCTGTACAAGTACAATTTGTGCAATTCTACTTTATCACAATAGACACTTTTCAAATTCCCTGGTTTTTCAGCAGCTGAACTCATTATAGTTGGGTAAACTTAGAAAACAGTGAAAGGGAGAAGACCACAAATACCTGACAAAAGTCTTGTCGTTGGTCCAAGTTGTAAGAGCAGCAATTAACTTCTAGTTGATCATTTTGAAAAGTGGCAGAAGATTGATTTTTTTCGATGAATCATCTGTTGAACTGCATCCCAATCATCACAAATACTGCAGAATACCTATTGGAACCCGCATGGACCCAAGATTCTCACAGAAATCAGTCAAGTATGGTGAAGGGAAAATATAGTTATGAGTTACATTCAGTATGAGAGTGTGTGACAGATCAGCAGAGTGGATGGCAACATCAACAGTCTGAGATATCGAGACATTTGTGCTGCCCATTACATTATAAACCACAGACAAATTCTTTAGCAGGAAAGAGCTCCTTCTCATACTTCAGCCTCCACATCAAAGTTCCTGAAAGCAAAGATGGTCAAGGTCAAAGTTAGACCTTACTGTCCAAATTTAATAACTAGAAATAATCAGTGCTTAATTTGTGTATTGCAAGGTCCCAGAACAGATAACAGATTTGAGTAAAGGATGTTACTCGAGGATGTCGGAATGTCACGCACAAAAGTGGAGGGTTTGGAAGTCGCGGAAGAAAGTGAAAGTGAACAGCAGACAGGGGAGGAGGGGAGTCAAGTTATTATTTGTTGTTCCTAAAACTTGGATAGGTCGGTGACAAAACTTCTGTCAGTATAAGAGTATACTGTGTATATATATATTTTTGCTTTCCAGTTTGTTATCACAATGTAGTCTTGACTTTCCTTTTCAAGACAACTTTCCTTTTCATCCTTTTCTAAAAAAGAGAATAAAACAGTGTGACTGATAACAGGAACTAGAAGAGTGAGCAATGACAAATGTACTGTCCCATGTTTTTTTATTTTTATTTTTTTTTGTAATTTTATGGCAACAAGATATAATACAAAAAAAATGCTTTGTAATTGAACATAAATAAAATAAAATAAAAATCGCACACCATCTATGTCTTGTAAAAAGGGTCTATTTGCCAATCATATATAGCAGCCAGAAACAGAATTATGTGTTATTTTTCAGAGAGAAAAGTTACAATTAATGTAAAAAAAAAGCTCTCCCTCACAGATAGTTTTAATGTATAATTGTTAAACTAAGTAACAGCTGTCATGACCCATTCTTTATGAACATTTAAATTAAGAATATATATTTACAGCACTTTCATTTAAAGTTTTTCATTAAGCATTCATTATACGCTCATCATGCAAACCTTGAATTAATTGCAATGTAACTAAAGCATATCTTTCATCTACGCCTTCTACGTCTTTACTCAAAATGAAAACGTTCATGAACTAGCAAGCATTTATTTTAAACTATAAAAAATATATTTAGACAAAGATGAGTCACCATATCACAGTGAAGGACGGGGAAAAAAAACATTTGCGCTTTGTGCATATCTTTTTATTTTACTTGAATACTTTATATTATATTATATTTATTATATTATATTATATTATATTATATTATATTATATTATATTATATTATATTATATTATATTATATTATATTATAATATTTTATATTATATTATATTATATTATATTATATTATATTATATTATATTATATTATATTATATTATATTATATTATATTATATTATGTTATATTATATTATATTATATTATGTACGATCATATATTAATGCTAGTGAATTAATACTATTATAGATTTCTCATAGGCTTAGTTTAATTAAATGTAACTGCACAGACAATATGTGCACAACCTAGTTAGGATATAATTCATGTATAATATGTCTCTATGTTTTTATATGTTTTCAGCTAACAAAAGGTGCCACCTTTATTGCCAGTCAAAAGAGACAGGTGATGTGGCATACATGAAGCAGCTGGTACATGATGGGACAAGGTGCTCATACAAAGACCCGTACAGCATTTGTGTGCGTGGGGAGTGTGTGGTAAGTGTGTTTGATTTACAGTATACAACGCATTTCATTTTATGAATATAAACCACAGCACGTGGTTTGCACGTTCTCCATGCGTTTAGGTTTCCTCCGGGTGCTCCGGTTTTCCCCAGAAGTCCAATAACATGCAGTACAGTTGAATTTGTGCAACCTAATTTGTCCGTAGTGTATGTGTGTAAATGAGTGTTTATGGTTGTTTCCCAGTGATGGGTTGCAGAAGGAAGGGCATCTGGTGTGTAAAACAATTGCTGGATAAGTTGGTGGTTCATTCCGCTGTGATGACCCTGATTAATAAAGGGACAAAGACGAAAAGAAAATGAATGAATAACTGAATGAATGAATGTAGTATTAGTATTCTTTTTCTCTGTAAGACCACAATAATCGAATGGTGTGCAACAAAGTGGCTGATTTGCATAACCATCTCAGCAATATTCAGAATCACTCACTGTGGCAGTACTGTACTTTTTTTTATTGAATGGGTGACTAATAAAATCCTCTACTGTCTGACCTCCAGAATTTGTGTTGTAGGGAAGGAAGAAACCTGAAGATTTTTAGTGTACTTAGCAGTTCAGTGTACATTAGACGGGATGCAAATAGTCTATTTAGTGTAAATAGTGTATATTATTTCAGGGTCATGCTATCTTAGGCTGAGACTCGATTTCAAAATCAGTGTTTCTCTCTTGAATATGTAGAACTAGGTTTGCTAGTACAGTTACAGATGAGAGTGGAAAGTCTAGTAAGAGGTTTGTACTGACAATGTGCAGAATTTACATTGCGCTGCTTAGTAATCTGTATGTTTAGATCATGCATTCATCTGGCTTTCTAAATGAATAAATGAATAGTGGAGAACTTTTATCTCCCTTATACTGTATGTGCTCTCTATTCTCTTCATACCTCCGACTGAAACAATTGCCTCCTGCGAAATGGATTATGGTGTGCTTTTTTGGGAGCATTCTTTTTTCATGTCTCTGATTGTTCAGAAAGACGGAATATATAAGTCAGAAATAATATTATCTAGAAATAATCTCATGCATAATAATGTCATTTATCTCATTCATAATAGTGTGATTGTATTCTCCCAGCTCTTTCTCCTGAATAAATGAGAAGAAACGTTTAGAATCTAATGATGCCACCATACACTCTCCATTCCTGACAGCCAAACAGTACTCCAAATTAACATATTTATTCATATCTTGTGATGTCACTTCACTTCCCTTTCACTTTGTCTCAACATCTAAAAAGTTGGATGACTATATTACCCCCATGCTTAAAAGATTTTCAGATGGGTAACTAGTGGCTGGGATGCACAGGAAAAGAAACCAAAAAGCCACTGTCGCAATGTCCTTACATACTTTTTATTTAGAATCTCCTTACCGCTGCTGGCCACCGCACTCATTTTTGCATGTGTTGTTATTATGACCTGAAGTAGCAAGCGTGTGCACATGGATTTCTTGCCTATTTACAATGAGCTTTGCACTTGTGCTCTCCTTGCATCTCTCGTAACTAAGCGACCATCAAGCATTTTCTTAGAGGGTTACAAGTTTATGGAGAAAAGTAAAAAGCACGGCAGTGTTTGGATGTGCTGTGTTTGTCTCAAGTAATTAGTCAAGTAATGTTATTACTGAAATGTGTTTAATCCATAAAAAGTGTGAAGCAGAATGTTTAGTTCTACTTGACATGAATTGAGGTGTGCTTAAAGAATTTGAAAAGTTGAGATGTTTTCAACTAAGTGTGCCTGGAAATGGCATGCGATTCACATGTGCGCCGCTTGCACAACATGTATGCATCGCTCCCATTTGCGCGTCATGCAAGTCGCGTGCCTCTATTGGAAATTAGAAACTTACACCCTTAGCTTATTGGCATTGCTTCCAAGGCGCGTGCTTAGCGGCAACATTTTAATAAAACAATAGAGCTTTATACTGAAACCTCATACTAAATCTTTTTTTTCAATCAATATTGACAACGGTGTTCGGTCAATAAATATCGATACAGATTTTATCTCCCAGCCCTAGTTTATTACTCGTTAATGCCACATATACCACTGAATGCACTGTTGCATAATTCTTTTAAATACTCACCTCCCATAAAGTATGTGCCCAAAATACAAACTCCTACAATTGCATATGGAGTAAGTGTATGTGCAAATTTTCTTTTTTTTTCTTTTCTTTTTTTTTCCTCTAAATACATTTTGGGTTAACCTGCTACATAGATTTGTACTAACATATTTTCGAAAGATAAACATCTTATTAATTTTTGCATTGATAAAGTAAAATACTAACAGACAATCAAAAAGCCAAAGTAGGCAAACCCATTCCGACATAAACATAAATAGGTGCACTTAAATAAAATTTTTATTAAAATTTACTTGCAAAAATGTATGGTTCAATTAAAAAACTGCCTTGTGAAACGATCTAAAGCAATAAAAGAATTACATCAATTGCAATATTTTTTTTCCAACAATATTGAAAGTAATGAGACATAATACAGTCTCATCAGATGTCACATTCCAGCTGCACCCCATCACTGGGAAACATCCATACACTATTATTCACACACATACACTACAGACAATTTAGCTTACCCAATTCACCTAAAGCACATGCCGTTGGGCTTGCGGGGGAAATCGGAGCACCCAGAGGAAACTCCACACAGAAACGTCAACTGACTCACCCGAGACTTGAAACGGCGACCTTCTTGCTGTGAGGCGCTACCCACTGCACCACCTTGCCGCCATGCAAACCAAATGTTTTCCCAATAATTTAATACTTTTGTGTTCCACATGAAATTCTTCAGTAAATAGTTATTTTCTTACACATAATGTCATCAACAGCATCATGCAATTTAAAAGGACATTACATTAAAATAGACATCTGACTCACAGACATACATGAGCAATTAACTGAATGATCGCAAACTTCTCTGCAGTCAAATCTGTCACACTTGTATAATCTTGTATATTGTGGTTTGTTGGTTTTTGTGATTTGTTGCTGAGCAACTGTGGTTGACAGTAGACTGTTTATATTATGTGTGCCACTTCACAGTGAATGTTGTTTGAAGAATGGATCCCTTTAGATGGGGTTGATAGAAATACATTGATTTCTGTAGCGCGAATGGAAACTGAATAGTGATTAGCTTTTGGGAAGGAAGTGATTGATAGTGTGTCAGCTAGTGTACAGAGGCTTTAGGATTTATTTGCTGTTATCTAGCACCTTTATAAAAGTTTTGTTCAGCCAACTGCTGCAGTGTGTCTCGTATTTGTCAATGTCAGTTCGTATTTTCAAGAGAGAAAAAAGAAATCCTGTTTCTTGGTGACACTTTTTTTTTTTACGGATTATGCTGTTGTGGTCAAATGAGCAACATGGGAAATGCTTCAAAAGCATCTGTAGTTTTAAGATATCAGATGCAGACATAGTGAAAGATAAAAGCTGGAAGAGATTTTGAGAGCACCTTTTGTTCTATTTCCTCAATGTGTCTTGCATATCTCCTCATTTTTGTCATCTTCTTTTTCAGAAAGTGGGCTGTGACAGGGAAATTGGCTCCAATAAGGTGGAAGATAAGTGTGGTGTGTGTGGGGGTGACAACTCTCACTGCCGAACTGTGAAAGGAACCTTCACCCGAGTGCCCAAAAAAGCTGGTAAGATACTTCCCTTATTTCCTGGGCCATTTTACCTACATCAGCCAGCTTTTCTTAACTGCAGCCCTGTCATTAAGTTTATATTTCACAACTTTCATTAAGAAGACTACTTTTGGGGGAATATGTGATAATGCTGAAATTTTGCTAAACCTGGAATATTGATAAAGAGCAGACCTTTATTATTGATATATAATGGTACATTTATTACATAAAGTAGATTTAACTCTCAGAAGCACCAGTTGTGTTTCATAAGTTTGTGCATATATGTAATTTTCATAATAAACATTATTTTAGCATTCTAAGGGGAGAGTGAAATAAATGAAGATACTTTTAATTATTTGTTAGCACAAAGGCAACTTTGCATGTTTAAAGAATACATTTTCCTGTGCCAAGAGCTAGCTACTAAATATATATATATATATATATATATATATATATATATATATATATATATATATATATATATATATATATATTAGTGCTGTCAATCGATTAAAAAAAAAACTAATTAATCACACTTTTTTAAAAAAAATAATTGCGATTAATCGCATTTAAAAGACTGAAACTTGTAATTTTGGCTATTCGAGTGTAAAATTAATGTAAACGCAAGACAAATACTGTTTAAATTCTAAATATAATTCATTATTAGAATTTTTGTTTAACTTGTAACACAGATTTCTTCATGTAAACAACATACCCACAATAAACCATCAAGATCCTGCTTGACAGTTATATTTATTACAGAAATAAAAACACAGGCATGTTAAAGCCATTTGAATTTCAAACAATCAATACCAATAAAGAAAACATTGATTTCCATGTTGGATTCTAAGTGGACTGCAAAAAATGCCAAAATACAGGAATTGCAGATATGGAAAATTATAATAATAATAATAAAGTATTGAAAATCTGTGCATGCCCTTGAATAGGTTTCGCAACTTCCATTCTATAAAAGCACAAAAGCCATATATAGGAAATAACGAGAGTTGACAAAAAAAAATACTTTTTTTATTTATTTAATATTAAAATAAAATTATAATCCAGACTGGAAATGTGTGTGCCTGTTTGTTTTAAGGGAGCCTAATAAATAATGAACATAACAAAACTGCCTGCTGACGCACACAGTTAATGTTGATTAATAAAATAAAGATAAATAATAAAAGCAATGTGTCAGAGACCCTAAAAAAATGTTTAACTCAACAATGAAACATCAAATGTAGCTAACAGCTGTTACATTGTCAATCAAATGAACATAAACAATTAAAAAATGCAACAAATATTTGTTTGGGCAGAACTACAAAACTAAATGTAAAAAAAAAAGTTGCTTAAGTTGCACACTAGTTTGGTCATGTATAAATATCATTATAATATCCATATTGTATAAATATTATTGTCACTATAAGTCTACATCATGCTGACGATCAAAAACACAATGTCATGATATCTCATGCGCTTGTCTTCTGACCGAGTGCATCTTAAAATACATGAATGACCCCTCATAGAGCGTACTAAGCAGACATTCTTTATAATTTGTAAAATAAAGACTTGCAGGTTAAGGAAACAGCATAGGAATTTGCCGCGGCCGTGGTGCAGATTAAAAGTTTAAAAAAGTATATTCATATAGACAGATAGGTAACTAGATAGAATAGACAGGAGTTTATTGATCTGTGCCCCGCTGCAGAGTGCAGACAGACGCAAAAGCCTGCTCTCCCGCGGCGCGGACCGGCGCGTAAGAAACAGGCGGGACTCTCTGCTATTTTGACGAATACACACCAACGTTACACAGAGCCCAACATGGAAGTTTGTGATTGGGTCAACCCAATGTCAATAAAGAAAAGAACCAATGGGCTGCAAATTATGTCACACGGCTGCTTTGTCCGGAAAAGAAACATCTCACTTTCAGAGCGTTACAGCTCGCAGCACCGTCAATCACTCAGGCAGAAAAACATGACAGTCTGCTAAGTGTTTTATGGGCCGATCAGATCATAAGCAGATGATCAGCCCAGCCCAAATAGTACGTCGAAACAGCGGGAAACTTCCGGGTCTGCCCCTGGCCACAACAGAAAAAAAAAGCGTTAATTGCGTAAATTTTTTTTAACGCGTTAATTATTTCAAATTAATCGCATGCGTTAACGTGTTAATTTTGACAGCACTAATATATATATATATATATATATATATATATATATATATATATATATGAAATATTATATGATATATGAAAATATCTTTTTCTTATGGCTATAGTAAAAACAGCATTATTATTTTGTCAAAAAACTAGAGGTTTAGCTAAACGTTGTTAGGGTTAGAAATATTTATAATGCGCCAACTGGTATGGTTTGTTTTTAATTGTGGTTGTCGCTGAGCTCAGAAATAGTGCCCTTAGAGCAATAATAACATCAGGATGCAAGGGATTGGGATCGAAGAGACCATTATGTTTTCAGTGTTAGTTGCAGGTAAAGCAGGACACACACTGTACGATTTTGGCCATCTGTGATAGCTTTTCAAATCCTAAAAAGCCCTCAGATGGGCCTGTCTCAATAATCAATTAGCGCTGGGTCGATAAACGATATTAAATCAAATCGCCATAACATTTATGTTGATTACAATGATAAGCTCTAAACTTTTTTACTCTATATTGATCTAAGCCAATCACCGTGCAAGAATCTAGAAGTTTGTTGATGACCAACAAAAATGTTAGGCTGGGGTACTCATTTAAATCTGGAAGCATTAAGAACTAATATAGAAGTGTATATCGTTATTGTTCAATATAAAAAAGAATCAATCGAGAATGCGTTTTTGCCATATCACCCAGCCCTACAATTAACAATTTATCAACTTATCGCACAACGCATAAACATGACCTCAATCAGTTTTTGGTGTTGCAATATACATATGCTTATACATAAAAGCCAATTCTAGCAACATTTCACCTGATTGTGCAACATCTCCAGCTCTTGAATAATAATAAGTAAAATAAAACTAAACTAATAAAATAAAAACTAATAAAAAAAAAAACTGATAATAATACCTATTGTATGTACTAGTGGTGTAATGGATCACAAATCTTATGGTTCGGATCACAAAAATGTTTTTTGAGTCACGGATCAGACCATTTTTTGGATCAGCAAAAAAGGGAAGACACAGATGTCATTTGCTTTCTATGTGTACAAAAGTATTACTGCTCAAACCATTTCTGCAAAAGCCAACAATCAGAACTTAGAACCTTTAATTTTAATAAAAATAAAAATCAAGAAAATACCAGCTGAAAAAAGGGAACATGTTTAATACGAAGAATGACCTTTGCAACTGTTGCTGATATACTACATATAGAAGTCTAACATCTTGTACAACATATCATGTTTATTTTTAATTATGATTCAACAATTCACGCATAAAACATCATGTTTCATTATAGGTGTATTATTTATGAAAACCTATTCTGTCACATAATTTTAATGATTGTCAGACACCACCTATTGGTCATCTAATGTAATTGCTACAATATTCACCAGCGTCAAGTTCCATTAAACTGTGATTTTAATCTTTACCATAAACATCAGTGTTTATATCTGAACTATAAAGTGTTCTCCCAGTACTTCTGTTATTTAATTGTTTGTAACAAACTGAAAAAGTGCAAAAACTGAATCTCTCTCAATCAAACGCTCATTTGAAGGATTAATAAACATATGCAAATCATTATTATGTATCATTCATGTTGTGCAGGTTTGAACTGAGATTGCAATGTTTTAATGTTAAGTTGTGCAGCTTTACACTGAATGCATTAATGCAGACTAAACAAACTGTGACAGAAAACACCTTTAATTAATGACCTAAGAAAGCATTTAGGTCCCATCACATCTTTTTTCCTCATCATTGTATTTTACAGGGAAGCCAAAATGCTTTCATACACGTGATTTGAATGACACAGAAGGCGATCTCTCTTAAATTTTTATAAAAATGTTGGATTAACCTACAAGTTCAAAAAAACATATTAATCTGCGGGTCGCGTGCATTCCAAACTATGGATTGTGATCCATACGAATCACGGATCAACTGTGATCCATTACCTCCCTAGTATTTACTACCAATTATTATAGTACATTTTCATGTGGGTGCCTCTGTTAGTTTTTCAAGCTTTTTTGTTAACTTTTTTTATTTTATTTTATTTATGCGAATTCACATTCCAATTCCCATGCCTAATTATTAAATTGTTAAAATGACTATAATTAAATTGAATGAAATATTCTTAAGAATACATATTGTGTGGTCTCTGGAAGAGTGTACATAAGAATAATATTGTTCATTGAAATATTTTTCGGTGCAATATATCGTTTGACAAAAAAAGATATACTGACAGGCCTACCCTCAGATCCCAGACCAAAATATGTAGTCTATGATCGCTGGTTTGACATGTTCACATGCTTCCCATTAATGATCGCTGGGATAAAATTTGAAATTGTCAATGTCAGAAGTATCGAGGAACAGTCTTACTCTGTGGCTTCTACTATGACAAGCGTCAAATCAAATATACTGTCTGTTATTTAATCCATTTTCTTACATGGACAAGCTATTAACACAAGTCAAATTAACACTGGAGATTGTTTTTGTTTTCTAGCCACCATTACATTTCTTCTTGTGAATTCAACATACTGTCAATGAACAGATAGATGATGTTTTCTTCAGACTAATCTCATGACACATAGTCATTGTCCGTTTTTAAAAATGTTGAAGGATGTAACTGAGATCCTGCAGTGTGACATGGCTTGATGCCGGGAACATGTTTGTGCAGACTGACAAGCTGCATACAGCGTGCATCTGCCTCAATGCTGTAAAAGTGAACAGAGGAGCCTGTAGATGGATTGCAGTCACATTCATAATAGATATTCAGAGATTTCAAAAAATGCTACACAGGAAGTCTCTGTAAAGGCTGTAGCAAATGAACTTTTAATATACTTCAGAGAGGGGCACGAATCGAAGTCTTCCTCTCTGCTGAGAGT